AAATTTGATATATAAAATATATATTGCTTAGAACTTTTTTTTACAGTCTGCAGATTATATTTTTTTTATACTTTTTCAAATCTAGCTGTGAGGTCTTGGCAGATTTGGGTCTTGGATGTTTTGGTCTGAACTCCAGCTCTGACTACTAGCCTGTCAAATAAATAGACACATAAGAAAATACACCCTGCAGGGAATTTCCAATTGATCCTTTTGATTGGTGAATTTTAGCCTGTCTTTGTCCATATGTGTAGAAAAGAGAAGAAAGAGAGAGAAAGAAATATTCTTGGATCGGCCTGTAAAAGTCAAGCACAAAGGCTGCCTCTCTTCCTGAGCTGTGCACTTTTCGCATGCGGGTCTCCAGGGGCCGGGAAAACTGGCATAAGTCATTAGGGCTTGAATAGAGCTTGAGCACAAATAATAGCCCATTATGGCACAAGGAATCTCCTTGAACCGACAGGCATTGAACAAACAATGGAAGATACTCAGGGAGGGGCGGACACGCCTCGGGCTTCTGACGTCTCCACGTGCTGCCAGGGTCACCTCTCTCAGTTACCTTCACACACACACATAAACAATGCATTCACCTTACACACACACTATGCCATATAATAACACAAAACATTGACACAAATGCGGACTTCATTCCAAGGGCATCCCGGTACTGTGATTTTGAGGTAGACAGTGCAGGCTGATGATTGTTTCAGCTTAAACCCTTCACTCATCATCTCCGAACGAGGCAGTCATTATGAGAGTTGATTGATGGGATCAGGGCTTGTTGAATGGGTGCTGATCAGTGTTTTAAATGATTTAGGCTGTCTTTTACGCTCATAAAAATTCGAATTATTCTTTAGATGGGCCAGAGATCCTCCCCGATAAATAAATGTGTCATGGGAGTGCAAATTCCACTTACACAGGTGAGTTGTCTCACTAATATGTCTGCGGTCAACCATCCACCTGGTGGAGAGTGATGACACATTTGGCTCTGTTGCAAAACCTTTGTAGGCAGCATATGCACGCTAACTTGGAATAAAAGAAAACTGTGCCTTGCTGCACTGCTTGGGTCAAATTTTAAGGCAGCTCTCAATGTATTCTTCATGAATTAGGCCATTCCAGAATGCAGTGCAAACAAACTCAGTGAGCAAATTATTTCGAGATGGTAGAAAAGGTGAGAGAAATGACCGTTTCATTCAGCAATAAAAAGTAATAAATATATAATTAAAATATAATTATTTTATTTATGTTTGATATGTTCTTTTATGCTATTAGAAGCCACATGATTAGCTTAACATGTTAACGTCAAACTATTGCAAGCCGACGTTATAAAAAACTTTTATGCTCACCAAGGCTGCATTAGTTTTATCAAAATGCAGTAAAAACAGTGATACTGTCAAATGTTATTACAATGTAAAATAACTTTTATATTTGAATATATTGTAAAATGTAATTTATTTCTGTAATGCAAAGCTGAATTTTTAGCAGCCATTACTTCAGTCTTCAGTGTCACATGATC